GGGAGACAGAAGTGGGCCTGTGTATGTACAACACGGGTGGCGTCTGGGGCAGCAGGCCGTTTGGGACGCGGCGCGGGGCGGGGTCCCTAAAGAACGGGAAGGGGGTTCCCCCTACTACGTTTCCGCGCTTTTTACGCACAAAGAAGAGGTGTTTCTTAATATTAAGCAACATGGAAATGATCTAACAAAAACTGCGTTTGATTTTGTTTAAAATTAATTTCGCTAATCTTGTGCCGCCACAGTATTTACGTCAATACCCAAATGCAGACTTGATAAGTGAAACCTCCTCATGACGACCAATTTAAGTAGTCGGCGTAAAGGGGTTTCACTCTTTTTGAATCTTTCATTACAAACGGTTTGTCTTTATTGATTGGGAAAGGACATGCATCCCAAATTTTAACTTCTTTCTGCACGTATCATTCGTATTAATGTGTAGGTCGCCCTTCTTGAAGAAGTCAGAAAATTTAATTATGATCATTTTTAGCTTTCCAGATTCAAAACACTTAGTAATTACTTTTGCCGAAAAATCAAGTTAATAACTACTTTGATACCTCCTTCTGATACATTTCTCTATCTGGGCGAAGTTCCTATCCGAAGGCAACATAGAATGTTCGACTTGGGAAACACATGATCAATTGTGTCAAATCTACCAATGGATATTAGGTAATATTGTATTAATATGAAATAATATTCCAATTTTATTTTCGCCACAACAGTTGTCACTAAATGCTACAAGCTTTCTCCCTTTGGTATTACTTTTGAAGTCCTTTTTAAGACAGCTTTTTATTTTCACATACCCTGTTAGCAGTAGTTTCGTCCCACAAGAAGCATGCCGTCGTTAAAGAAACAATACCGCGTAACTGACATCCTTGATACCACTGAGTTATTGGCATACCTATCATTACGGGTTACCATTTAATAGCATAGTAAATGTAATTTAATGCCCCCATGGGTACCTCATTTGTCGGCGAGCTCGCTTTCCATGACGCGGTCCCGGGTTCGCTTCCCAGTCGGGACAGATTATAGTGAGCACTTTCCTTGCAATGTCCCAGTATCTGTTGCTGTATGACAATGAGAAAGCTCACTTTTCTGATTGAGAAGACCAGAATACAACATAGGGATGTCTATATGATAACCACACATGACACTTAACCCATGGCAAGGCCGGGACGCCGCTGGTAGGCCTCGTCCCCGTCAGCTGTTGTGCCAGTACAGACTGACAGAAATGTATTTTAACACTTATGACTTATATTACATTTCTGACCCTATCAATTAGAAAGCGCTATGACCGTTGGTATCAGGGATCGAAAAAAAAAACACTCGAAAACCGTACAATACAATAAAAATCTTACTGATTCTCTCGGAAATGCCACTCAACACCTTCCCGCCAAAAGTTGTGAGATTCTGGGAATCTCTATTCGTATTATATACTGTTCTCCCCAGAGGTTTCAGCCCAGAGAATCTTTCCCGAGAAAAGTCTGAATACCCGTGTGATCGGTATTTAGACTTTTGATTCGACCACGGTGACATCTGTTTCGAGTCAAGAATGCGAGAGTTTCTAGTTCCCTTGTTTCAAGTCCCTGGCAACTACTATCAAACCACGTTCAACAACAGGGTCTTTCCCAATGCATCCCAACCAACTGTGAGCAAAGAGAGAAAGCAACTTTCTTCCAGAACGGCCAACATTACACAAATGACTCATCAAATGTACGTTTTGAGTCAATAAACCTATCATCAAATGAAAATAAATTTCCCATACATCACAAGTAATGCATTCAATACCATCAAGAATTGACTGAACGCGTGTGCTTTCAATAATATAAAATAAACATGAAATTAAGTTGCAGCTACTTTCAGGCGACGACAGACAATTGGTATTCCCCTCAGACGAGCTCCAGCACGCCGCGATCTCCAGCCAGACCCCAACCCTTCTTCGTTCGGGAGTGCTCTGTGCAGTATCCTGGTGGCTTGTTGCGGTGCGAAAGCAACGTGCCGAGTGTTAAAACAGCTATGCGCGGCTGAAGACTAAATGCAATTAAAGAGCTTAAGAGTATGTGACGTTGCACTGTCTGGGGGCGCACAAGACCCGGAGAGAGAGCTAGAGAACGCTAGGCGTGCACTCTTTAATTTAAAAATGATTTCGTATACATCGATATTCCTGCAGAATTTTGAATATTGAATATCATTAAATGGAAAACGTATAACACACTGGTCACAAACCCTATATCCCCTATCCGCCTCCCGGCGTTAGAGAGGTTCCGTTTTATGCTCTGTAAAATGCTATTTAACTTCACGGGCCGGAGAAAATTTCCGTTTAAGAGTTTTCCGGCTTGTACAGGTTCCGGTTTAGACAGATGTTACTGTATTTGTTTCTTTTGACGTAAAATGTTTTGTTTTTAAAACTAATGGTGCTCCAACAGAACATAATTTTGTCGCATTGTTTAAAACTTTTGCAATTTTCGAAAATTCAGAGACTTCAATGAAAATGAGCCCTGCACCATTCTTTTAAGCGACCCTTGTTCTATCCGTGGAAAAAATCGAAGAAAAAATCTGGTTCGGTTTTTGATATTTTTTGAATTGCATTAATTCAAACAAAAAATAAAGCAAAAACTACTCTTCTCTCGACAAAAAATATACATAACCTTTTTTAAGAACTGATTTTTTTAGAACAGATATTATTTCTTTAGATTTGTAGTTTGAAACGTTAACTTTTTGAAATTTCTGAAAATACAGTTTGTTGGAAATGGAACTGACACCACTTTTTCTGTTCTTTGATATATACGAAAAGTAATTTTAAAGAAACTAGTGGTGCTACAGATGGGCACAGACTTGCCCTATTAGTTTTCTATTTCCTTTAGTCTCGATTAGCTATACGAACTTGCCAGCTGCCATCTACGGCTGCCTAAAGTACATTTTTTTAATTTTTCGGTTTTCTAATAATATAATGAAAATATTATTTTATGGATATTAAAGAACAGTAAAACCTTGACCTAAATGGCAATTTTTGGCTTTTCTTTGAAAAAATTGCAACTGTTTTAAAAAAAAGTACCGCTTAAGCGAATAAATTCGAAATTTGAAACTCTTTTTCGCAGAAAAGTTTTGAGTTTTCGAAAAACTTTATTTGAAATCATTTGAAGTACTTTAACTCACAAATACAATCGGGTTTACAATTTTCTGGAAATGTGCATATAAACGGCGTGAGGGATCTTTAAAAAAACTTCAATTATCTCATTTAAAAAAAAAGAAGAGAACAATATGGTGTTTATGCCACTTTATTGAGTACATTTAGCACTGTCCCTACCAAAAGTTTAAAGAAAAAATGGAGCAGTTTTTGAGAAAATATTGTTTTTGTTATTTTTTAAAATTCCACATATTGCTCGCAATATTGCGCGAATACTACTAAAATCTTCGAGAACCTATTTTTACTACTTAGGAAAACAAATTTTATTTTAAGGAAAAATCTCCTCAATTTTGAAGTTGTAGGAAAACTCCCAAAAAATTTTGAAATTTTCGAATATTTAGAGTTAACAGTGAAAATCGGACCTATTCCACCTTTATATGCTTAGTTTACTCTATTCTTACAAGAAATTTAGAGACAAAATTTGTAGCCGCTTTGAGACAATTTTGGAAATGTCCGGGGAGCTTCATGCAAATCCTCCCAAATTTTAAAGATTTTTTTCAAAATCAAAACTTCGACACGAGCCAGATGGACATGGGTTTCTTCAATTTGGAAAAAATCGTACGTAAGGTTTAGGCGCCAGTGGTGCTCACAGACGGACGGACAGACAGACGGACGTTTTGAAGAGAACAAAGAACCCCACACACACACACACACACACATACACACCGTTTTTCGGTATCAGGGGACCCCAAATCGTGTATTTCCGTTGAAATCTCAAAATCGATTTTCCGCAGCCTTACATAACTTTCCCTTTACTACGCATAATACTCCGTGTGTGTGTGTGTGTGTGTGTGTATGTATGTATGTATGTATATATATACACACATATATACATAAATACATATGCGTCCGTATACGGGAATGTAAAAATGGAAGTGTTAAAGAAAATGGTTTAAAAAATTTGCATATATATTTGAAGTAAAATTATGCGAAAATTATTCATATTTTCGAAAAATTGTACATGATCTTATTTCACGATATGTCATTGAACAACATATTTAATTAAGAAAATATCTCTATATTCAATATTGTATTTGTGGGAAGATGTCTTCCAAATAATTGAAATTTTCGAAGAATCTGGAATTTCAAAAGAAATGAGAGCAGCACCATTCTCTTCGGCGTCTTTTACACTGTCCGAGATCATGGTTATCTCAAAAAATTGGAGCCATTTTTGAGGAAAATTGAAAATGGTGAAGTTTCTTGTGAAGATGGCTCTACACATTCGGTTTTCGGCGTAGGGGAGCATTGAATGCCCACTCACACTTATCAGGATTCGACTAGCACCGGCTACCACTCGAGCAGTCGCACGCTACTGGCCGAATACTGAATGCAGAGAGTATATAACCGACCGAAGATGTGGAACCGCCTTAAGTCTCCCCAAAAATCAAAATATCCTTTTCAGACAGAGCCTCGAGATCCTTCAAAACTATTGAGGATTATCAATTTTGGAGAAATCGTCTGAACCTGGTCTGAACTATTTTGACGCTAGCGTTGAGCGCAACGGACCGTCAGATTTTTGCATTCAATCGATTTGTCGGTATCAAGGACTCACAAAACATGGATTCTAACTACACAATTTGTTAGATGATGTAATTTACTATATGGGGAAATTATTTATCCACTTTTCTTTACCTGGGCCCGCAATAACAGCTTTTCTGTCGAAAATTCTCCGTTTTCCGGAGCGCGATTACAGTACTTTCTCCTCTTACGAAGTAGAGCGAGAGAGAAAAATTAGTTTTGGTTAACTCTTATGATCGTATCGCTGGGTAAAGGGACCATTTCAAACGTTACACGACAGTGCGAATTAAAATTTGTAAATATGTATCACTGTCTTATATGTAGGCTTAGTAAACGCTTAATACACGCATTCCTTCAATTATGATGGCCAGAATTCCAAATTCTGTGTGTTAAAACATTTCCGTTCACTTAAATTTTCATTGATGTGCATTATTATATGCACCAAGTCTGTAAGACTGACTTCGTGATTATATGGTACCACATAACCAAAACTGTCAGAAAAGAAAAGTATTCCAGTGTAAAATGTTCCTTACTCTGCTCATAATCGTACATTGTAGATTTGTTAAAAACAATAATTGGACTCGTGCCGAGCCGGGCGTGTGCGCAGTGCGCAATAAACATAGAAACAAAACATGATAGGGTTGCTAGGTCGCGATCAATAAGCTGCGCCGCTCAACTCCGTAGTGATGGTGGTTAAAATTGAAAGGGTGTGGTAAAGCACAGTAATTTTGGATTAACCATTAGGATGAATGTTTACAAAATCAGCGGTAGAATCGGGCAAGGTGCCCATGGCATTGTAATGAAGGCAATCAATGTTAAAACTAATCGAGAGGTTGCCCTAAAAAGAATTAATTACAGACGACCAAGTGAATTAGTACCGATGCATGTTTTTCGAGAAATATTGTGCCTTAAACTTGTGGATCATCATTTTGTAAGTTTTCTAGTAATCATATTACCTGTGTTTTAAAATTTGCAATAGATTCATACATCTAAATTAACTTTTGTCTACACCAGGTTGTGGAACTTCTAGATGTGTTCACTCACAGCCTGGGATGCGTGCTAGTTTTTGATTTTATGCCATCAGGCCTGGCGGAAATGATCCAGGATGACGAGTTTGAGCTGGGCGAAGCAGAAATCAAAAGTTATATGCTCATGTTGCTTAGTGGCATTTCACATATTCACAGTATGCACATCATGCACAGAGTAAGTTACCAATGCTGTACTTGTTATTGATGTTTGTGAACCATATTTTATGTTTGCTTTCATTATGTAAAAAGCATTAGCATGGTGCACAAAAATTGCTAGTTACTTGAACTTTGGTCAGTTCTTTTATTGATGTATTATTGACGTGCTCTGGTACATTTTATTGTACATTAAAATTAAATGAGTGTTGTAGACTTATTTCATATGCAAGGAAATTAAAGCCAATGATTAACTATGTGATTTGTATCATTTGTGGTAATTATAATTTGACAGTTTTTGAATTATTTTGTTTTGATTATAGTACCCCAAGGACCATTATTTTCTTTTTAAGAAAATTCAAATTGTTCGTCTTCTTGCTTAGATAGTATTGCCTGCTCCATGTATTGATATTTCATTCTTTTTGGTGATAAATTAACATTTCAACCTAGAAGAGGGGAAGTACTTATACAAATAAGTTCATGGAAAACTCTACGCATTCGTTTTGTTTTCATGCAGAAATCACTTTTCTGTATATTTTGTTTCCTTTCCTTTGATGACATACATTACAAGATCCTCTCTTATTCTGTTGTTTCTTTATTCCAATATTGAATATCCTGCACCTACCTGATTGATATAATTTTATTTACCTGTGATACCATTTTCTTTCATCTACCTGTGATAGTACCCAACAGTATCTACATATGATAGTACGCATCACATCAATACACCAGAATGGGAACTGTTTTTTTTTTATTAAATTTCAGGAGAATATCTTTCTTTAATTTCCGATGCCCTTTTGAGACATTGGAAAAGATTAATGTAATTACATCTTTCTAATTTCTTTTTCGTATCTCTCTATTTAAGGTCACTAACATTACATTCAAGTTTGTTATTTGTTTTGTAGTGGAGTTTTCAATAATTATTTTTAGCGAGTCATTTTCTTTTATTTGAATGCAATTACTTCGTTTTTTCTTTAGATATTTTCATGATACATTTTGGGAGCGTTTTGGGTAGCTGAAAAATAGCATTTTGTAAGTTGTCTTCATTTCTTGAAATAGCTGTTTTTTTTTTTTGTAAAACAATGGCTTCCTTGGATATTTAAAAACAATTGAACCACTCATGCATTTTAAAACAGAATTATTTTTATTGTCATTGATTCACTAAAAACTGCAACATTGGGTCACAATATGGCTGCATCATCAGGTAGTCTGAAATCAAGAAGTTATAACAATTAAATCTCTTTCTTTACTCATAATTTTTTTAAAATTTGAAATATGCAGAAAGAACATTGGATTGCTATTTTCCATTTCAAATAATAATAAAAAATAATAATAATAAAAAAAAATTAATGAGTAAAGAAAGTGTTAATTGTTAAAACTAATTGAGTTCAGACCACCAGATGATGCAGTCACATTGTGTCACAAAGCATGGTTTTCTCATGTATTTGTTGAATTAAATTGATGAATATAAAAATAATTGTATTTTAAAATATACAAGTAGCTTGATTGACTTCTAATATCTGAGGAAACCAATGTCATATAAAAAGATATGATATAGACAATCATTTATTGGTTTTTAATGAAGCTTTGTTTTTTCTGTAGATATTTCCATGATATATTTCGGGAGTATTTTGTGGTGCTCAAAAATTGATTTTTGTAGGTTGACCTCATTATTGCTTAAAAGAACTGTACCATTTGTAAAGAGAGTATGTTAAATGATTTGAATCCACCCACTTGATAAACGAAATGTTATGGAATTCCTTCTTTGTTAATTATTTCAGTGTTTGTTATACTGCATCAAAGAGTTTTTTAAAATCAATGAAGAGTAAGCATTTATTGTATTCTTGATGCTCACCGGTATTTGTTGTATTCAGAAAATGTTTCCAATGCGTGATCTACCAGTGCGATATTCTGTTTGTTTTAGAATGACTGCTTCTATTATTGGTTTCAAATTTTTGCTATTATTTTTGAAAAGATTTTATGAGTTGCACTTGGGTGAGGAAGGAGAGGCTCTGTAGTTCCAAAAAAGTGATGTCCCGTTATATGAAAAGGTTTCATCTTAGAAACAGACCATTCACGAGGGGTTTTCTGGTAATACAATCCATTTTAAGAAGTCTTAAGAATGTGGTTTTCATTCTCTGCGAAACATACTTCAAGTTCATTGTTTAAACCATCTGTTCTTACTGCATAATTATGTTAATATTTCAAAAATCTTTTTTATTTCATCCATTTTCATTAGATGTGGGGTATCAACACATTTGCTTCTTAGAAACTGTTGTCTTCCTTTGGTGTAGACTATAAGTCTTTGTAGAATTATGGTCTTATTTTATAATATTTACAAACTTTCCTTTAAATATATACATTTACATATTCAGATAAATGACCTACAGGAAGCATAATGCCTGTACATAAGTTGGCCTTTAAACTAAATATTTTGAGATCAATTTTACAAGAATGTTTAGTTATAACACCTCACTCAGTTATCGTATATTATATAAATGAAATAAAAAAGATATAAAAGTTAGAATACATGTTTAATTTCATAGAGTTTTTCAATCATAGTCAGGGCCGGCAAAGTAAAATTTTTTGGCATATGGAGTAAATTAGAATTGCGGGGAGGGGGGTTGGTTGAAGAGAGAGAATTAAAAATACACATTTTTAACATAACAATAACAATTTAATTTTTAACAACAATTTTATTTCCTTTTCTTATTAACTTAAAATAATATTTTTACACTATATTTTTAAAGTTTACAATAACAATTACGCACCGTTTACAAAGCTTATTTCAATATCTAATAAACCATTTTATTGCAAATGTTGCTTTTCGTACTTTGTTTTTATTTATAAAATCTTTAATTAATTTTGTCATATCTAATGCTTTCGCTGCTTCTTGATGAATGTTCAAAATAGCTAATGAGTTAAAACGTTTTTGCACCATTGTTGTTCGAAGATTTTAACCGTCGCATTGCTGAAAACGACCTTTTGCAAGTACATGAAGACTTCGGCACAACAAGTAAAAACTTTACCAACTTCTCGAATTCATAGCCCAAATGTAGAACCGAATATTCTTTCGAAAATTTTACAATATCGCGGAGTGAAGTAATTGCATAATTTTGTTTCGATGCTATATTTAAAAACATGTCACGATGAAGTAAGCTTATCCAAGTTAAATTCTTCGTCATCGTCATTTTGATTATAAAACTCTACAATAGCGTCTATCTCAGAAGTCTTCCCAATTACAAAATTTTCGCATGTATTTAAAAATGACATAGTATCAGAATCAAAGCGGGTTCTAAACGACTTAAGAACTTGGTCTAATATTTCAAAAAAATATTTTTCTATAATAATCGGTCTCATTAGAAAAATTATGTTCGGTTTCTGGAGACGAATATTTGTACCGTTTAGGAACTTTCTTTGCTCGTTGTATTTCCGGTTCATCAATGTCTAAATGTGCCGCTTCTTTGACATTATTCCATAGACTTTCAAATTGTGAATTTCGCATTTCGTTCATTTGATCTTCAACAATTTTAATCATTTTATAACCTTCATTAACGCACAACTCAAGTTTTTGAAGTTGGGTGTTTAACATTTCGATACGTTCAAAAATTGCAATCGAAATATGCAGTAAAAAGAAGAAATCAAATGACATCAAATTTCTTGGAAATCCAGCTGCTTTTGCTGAGACGCTAGTCTGCATATTTGTCGTATTCCAATTGTTCGAAAAATGTTAAAGCGGCTTCATAATTGTCTCCTGCGTGAAGAGTATTAAGAGATTTGACTCGCATTCACCACCTAAATAAACAATGAAATTATAAGACATTCATATAAATACAAATTTTAATATTTATACTATAACATTAATAAGATATTTTACCTGGTTGGGCAAAATGGAGATATGATAGGACTCATTTCAGATTACAAATCTTTGAAGATTGTTAATCGCTTTGGCGAATTTCTTAAGAAATTGACTAGTTCTTTGAAGATACCAATAAAGTTTCTTGCATTATAGACATCTTCCATTGCATCTTGTACAACAAGGTTAAGGGTGTGTGCTGTGTAATGAACAAATAAAGCACGAGGTTCTTTTTCAATTATAAGACTTTTCAAACCAGAAATTTTGCCGCCTCGTTAGATGCCCCATCGTAACATTGTCCTCGTAAATTATTGTAACTTAAGTCAAAACGCATAAAAATGTCTTCAATGATTTTCAATAAAGCGTTTGATGTACTATGTGTCTGATAAAAACCAACAAAAATCTCTTGAATTGTTAAATCGTCCAATACAGTCCGCAGACAAATCGATACTTGTTCCATTCGTGAAGCATCGGAAGTTCAACTACTATTAACGAAAACAGCTTTGCGGACTTTATAAGTTGTAATTTTTGTCTTAGGATTTCATTTGACATGCATTCCAATATTTCATTAATAATATCATTATGCAACCACGTACTTTGTTATCTAGTTAATCAAATGGCGTGTTCCACCGAATTGTTGCTTCTTGTTTGTAAAAATTGTATGAGGTTTGATTGTTCGTCATTGCCACTTCCGCGTAACACTACACCATGTCTTGTTAATAAATTTACAGTGCTTAATATTTTTTCCAAAGCAGTTCTATTGTCCATCATTTCTTTTTGTTTTTGATCAGATAATCGTTCACAAACACTTTTATTTTTTGAACAGCATATTGCTTGTGCACAAGATAAATGTAATTCTCCAGATTCGTGTTTCTTGCAAGCAATGACTGCATTTTTCCAACAATTGAAGTCATCTTCAACGAACGCTCTTAAAGATACATGGCAGCTAGAACTTGAAGGAATTGGCAACTGTATTTCTTTAGCTTCAATGCAAAGTGTACATATAGCTTTCTTTTCCGCGTTAAGTGTCTACCACTTATAAGTATTTTGCCAACGTTTAAAAGCAACAGGTATTTTTTCTCCTGAAAATTAACGTAAAAATAGTTGTTTGTATAAAATATTTTCTTCTGCACAACTGTTTCTGTACAATTAGAGACTATACCGAG